CGGTCTATCGGACGTCTCTCGAACGTCTATCGGACGTCTCTCGAACGTCTCTCGAACGTCTCTCGAACGTCTATCGAACGTCTCTCAGACGTCTCTCGGACGTCTCTCGAGCCTCCTAGACCTTGCTAGTAGACGCCTAGTGAAGGTTCTTACAGTGTGTATGATGGTGTCATACATGCGTCAAAAGAAAAACAAAGTCGAAACTAGGCCAGACTCGAACCCGGACCCTTCGTTTACTGTGCGATGGTCCTACCACTTAGACCATCATAGGTTAGGTTGGTAGGGAATTACGAAACGTTCGTCGAAAGATTTATTTTACCATACCGACTTGCGCCGGGCATTATCCTCATCGTTCTGAGGAAAGTAAAATGGGAGACATATAGAATTAATTTATACATAATTTTATGTTTTAGAATATCATTTATTTGTTCACGGCTTCATACATATATTTTTTACAGCGCATGCTAACAATTCACAATCAATGAGCGACTCGCGATCAAAGTCGCTGCTTTCTTGTATTGTTTTTGTTGCAGTATGTATATTAGTAATATAATTCTTCTTTTCACGAAGAATATTTACAAAACTTTTGAATTTTACACTAACAGATATTTTCTGATAACCATCCATACATGTGATTGATGCAATTTTCAAATGTAAATAATACATTTAACGTATCTGGTGTTACATATAAGCAATTATTAAAAATTGTAAGTTTCACAATTTGTGAGTTGTACATCTTACATGACGTTATTGTTAATTCTTCTATACGCATCGGGGGAGACGATGACTTATAAAAATTGGCCTGCAGAAATCTTTGGATGTCAGCACGTTGCCCCATTAGCGCATTCCAAGTTTTGATCGGCAATAGCAGTTGTTTGCCACGATTATCATCAATGACTATGTCTATGACGGGTTCAGCACCTACGTTGATTCCGATATTCAAATATTTATAAGCAGTTGCAGTCAAAGCGTATCGGCGTCCTAAGATATGCATAGCAGAAGGTCGTGAAACGCTGAAAAGACATAGAAAATTTACATGTCTGAATCTTGGAAAAATTACTACGGATAAATTAAAAGAAATAGCATTATAACACTCACCTTTCGCACATTTTCTTGCTCGGTGGAGCCTCGTCCTCATGTTGAGCAGGCATGTAATAATTTGCGTGTTTAGCGTTCACTTCAGCACCGGCAGCATACATTTTTATTATGTAGACACACCCAAACTTTACTATGTAGAGACACAACCGATGAATCTCGTGTTCACAGAGCGACTGAAAGACAGAGGTTTTTTTCCGAAGCCTAATATTAAAGCTACTATAGGGCATCCCCTCCTCTTACTCTTCAGAGTTGTAGCGCATGCGCAGATATATTCCTCAAAACAGGAAAGTAAATGAGATGTAGATATCTTTGGTTTAGACTCGGGATGGCGTTAGAGATATCGCTTCTGAACGACATCTTTTAACGATATCAGGGGAGAGGAGAGTGTCTTGACCATGGAGCGTCAGGTAGTTCAGTGGGTTTAGAGCAGTCGCCCTGCAAGCGAGAGACCCGAGTTCAATTCCCGGTCTAGCGACTACCGCACTTACGCGATATTTTTTCTCTCTTCGGGACGAAATAAGAAGCAGGTCCCATCGCCTAGTACGCCCTCCTTCTTTCACGGTCGTCATTTGACTCGCGCATATCCGAACGTGTTTTCTAACGGAGAGAATATAAAGTAAAGGATTCCAAAGAGCCGAGTATTCTCTGTAGTTAATAAAGAAATGGAAGACTTCATTCAAACCGAACGAGAACTGTTGGAGTAATCCACTCGTCTGAATTCGCGAGATGCTAACGACGCATGAGTGCAAAAGTTTGACAAGTGTATCAGATGTTTGGAAGAACAAAGTCGAGCAAGATGACCGCGATTGTTGATTGGCGCCGCGCAATCAGTGGTGGCTCGTATTGCACGACTCGAGGGACTGAAAATTTCTGTGCAAGAACGCTTCATACACGTGGGTGCTGGACACGCATCAAGAAATGCAGAATTGGTATGGAGAGAAATTGATACAGCGTTCGAAAGCCGCATATCAACCGGCGCAGTTATTAACGTGAACCATATCGAACCTCTTCGATTTCTCCAAGATGCGAAGAGTACAGTGCTCGAGCACGTGTGAAGTGCTATAGAAAAGCACGACAATCTTAAGGTGAACACTGTGTTCAATGGCGAGTTTATCTCAGGCGACAATCATGCATTCAAAAGCATTAACACGAGAAACAGTGAACTCTTTTCTGCTTTAGATTTGAATAAATGGTACGAGCAACGCGTCATCGAGCTTACTTTGGCATCTTTGGAAGAATTTCAAGAACGTGATAGTGGGCACTGCTGCGCATACTTGATCTCACAGCCAATGTGAACAAATACAATCCACTGCATGCAAAGTGCAACATTGAGTTGCCTCGCGAAATAAAATTAAAGAAAGCCGTGATAAACGTATGAACTAAAGACAACGCATGTTTTGCATGGTCCGTGGTCGCGGCATTATATCCAGCTGCAAGACATGGAGACCGGGAATCTTCGTACCCACGTTACACCAAAATATTCAATCTTCAGGATATTGAATTTCCAATGACGATTAAACAAATTACCAAGTTTGAATAGCTAAACAACATATCCATCAACGTATACACTATTCAAGATAAAAAGAAGCAAGAAGAAGCATGTACGATCGTTCCGATACGTCTCGCCATTAAGGAGGAAAAGCATGTAAATTTGTTATATGTGCAAGATCCACAAGAGTGCAACATGGGACATTTCGTGTGGATCAAGAATTTGTCACGTCTTGTGGACATGCAACTAACAAGTAAGTAAGTAAGAAAAAATGCAAGAAGTATATATGCGATCGGTAAGGAGATATTCACCATAAATATAATATAACAAATATGAAATAAAAGAATAACTCGTAATATCCATTTCTTTTCAGTTGCTTGCATTATTTTTATTCCAACGAAAAACTGGAGAATCATATCATAGATTGCAACAAGTTGAATGACTGTGCAGTCATCCTGCCAACAGAGGCCAACAAGTGGCTCAGTTTTACTAAATTACAGCAGAAGGGAACGGATTCCATTCGTGGTGTACGCTGACCTGGAATGCATTCTAGAGAAAACGCCAAACGAAGAAAAAAAATCGTATGTGTATCAGCATCATAAAGTACATAGTATAGCTTATTATATACGATGTTCCTACGATGAATCATTATCCGCATATCAGTGTCGTCGCAATCCGAATTGCATTTCGTGGTTCGTCGAAGAACTTAAACAATTGGCGCATCGTATAAAAATTATTCTGCGTAATAATATCCCTATGGAAATTTTATCACAAGAACAGTGTGCAGCATTTTATAGTGCAACGCGTTGTCATATATGCGAAAAATTATTCGCAGTGGGGGATATACGCGTACGCAATCACTGTCATTTAACCGGACAATACAGGGGTCCGGCACATTCCAATTGTAATTTAAATTATACAGATTCCTATTATATTCCGATAGTTTTTCATAACTTATCAGGTTATGACGCTCATTTCATTATCAAGGAAGTAGGCACCGCATTCGAAGGTCACGTCGATGTACTACCAATAACGAAAGAAAAATATATTTCATTTACCAAACATATTGAAGATACAAGTAAAACATCAGACTGGCGAAATCATATTAAATTGCGGTTCATCGATTCGTACAAATTTCTCAGTACCAGTCTCGATAAATTAGCATCGTTTCTCACTGGAGACAAATTAAAAATTCTTCAACCCGAATTTAAAAACTTATCCGACAAAGATTTTGATTTATTAATGCGAAAAGGTGTCTTTCCGTACGAATATGTGGATTGCAATGACAAGCTGCAGGATCAATGTTTACCACCGCGCGAGTCATTCTACAGTTCGCTGACAGGTGATACAGTATCTGAGAGCGATTACACGCACGCCGTGAACGTATGGGAACGGTTTTCTATTCAAACTTTAGGCGAATATAGCGATTTGTACCTGAAGACTGATGTTTTGTTATTGGCTGATATTTTCGAAAATTTCCGCGATAGTTGTATCAAAAGTTACGGTTTAGATCCCGCGCATTATTACACATTGCCAGGTTTCACGTGGGACGCGATGTTAAAACATACAAAAATTAATTTTGAATTACTCACAGATATTGATATGGTAATGTTTATCGAACGCGGTATACGTGGCGGTCTGAGTCAGTGTTCCGGTAGATGCGCAAAAGCCAATAACCAATACATGCAATCTTACGATCCATCGAAGCCATCCTCATACCTCATGTACTTTGATATAAATAATTTGTATGGCTGGGCAATGTGTCAACCGTTACCATACGCTGAATTTAAGTGGGTTGATGATACGTCGAATTTTGATGTATCATCAATCCCGCTAAATTCGCTCACAGGTTATATTCTCGAGGTTGATTTGAAGTATCCTCAACACTTGCATGATGCACATGCAGATCTACCGTTCTGTCCGACGCGAACGAAGCCCCCGAACAAACAGCAAGAAAAACTCCTTGCGACTTTATATAATAAGCAATGTTATGTTATTCATTATCGTAATCTGCAGCAGTGCATACACCATGGTCTTCGTATCGAAAAGATTCATCGCATACTCCAATTCGCACAAACTTCATGGCTACGCAACTACATAGAATTAAATACGCAGTTTCGAACGCATGCAACAAACGATTTTGAGAAAAATTTATACAAATTGATGAACAAAGCGGTATTCGGCAAAACAATGGAAAATGTTCGCAATCATGTCGATGTAAAACTTTTGACAAAATGGGATGGACGATACGGTGCAGAGGCAATGGTCGCTATGTTAAATTTTCATAGCAGGAGCATCTTTTCAGAAAATTTAATTGCCGTTGAATTGCGAAAACTCGAAGTGAAGTTCAACAAGCCGATCTATGTGGGTATGTGTATTCTTGACATATCTAAGACCTGCTTGTATGAATTTCACCATGAGTACATGTCACCTCTGTATCACGAGAAATGTAAAGTACTGTATACGGACACAGATAGCTTAATTTACCACATAATGTCCGATGATGTGTATGAGCTAATGAAACGTGACATTGCTAGGTTTGATACGAGCGATTATTCTCAAAATAACATATACGGTATGCCATATACACGAACAAAAAAATTCCAGGGCTTATGAAAGATGAAAATAACGGAGCTATAATGACAGAATTCGTCGGGCTCAGAGCAAAAATGTATGCGCTGAAAGTAGAAGGTAAAAAGGATACCAAAAGGGCGAAGGGTGTTAAGAGGAATATTATAGCACGAACGATCAATTTTGACGATTACACGCATTGTTTGAGAGAGGAAGTTGAAACGAGTCGGCGTCAATCGTACATAAGATCCAAGTTGCATGAGGTATACACGGTATTCGAAACGAAAACTGCTCTCAGTCCATACGATGATAAGCGATTTATTATGCCTGATTCGATAAATACATTACCATGGGGACATTATAGTATACTATTATAACGTTTATTTGTTTTATTAGCTATTTTACAATTAAATATGTCATCAAATGTTCTAACAAAACTGTATTCATTTTTTACAATACATTATCCTTTTGCATCCATGAATTATGCGAATTGTCGAATCCCAACCATTTTACATATATTTTGTCACCTTGCCTGCGCAACACCTTTTCTACTAAGTATACATTTGGATTGGTGACACTATGTAGTTCGTGTTCGTAGAAACCTCCGGCGATAGGTTTCCCGCGCGAGTCTGTGGGTAGGTAAGTTGCAGGATTAGTTGTCTGCACTTTGACGATTTTAAACACTTCGGTTGTCCAATTCGGTGTATAGCCTTTTTCAAAGATAGTTTTGAATTTGCTGACACGTACCAGATCACCCACTTTGAATTTCGCAGGCGCTGCAATCTTTATGTTACTATAGACTGTGTTTAAGAGCTTATTAGCAATCGTAGGAGTCACATCGATAGGACGTATGCCGATAGTTCGATGTTTTCGCGTGTTGTATTCAACGACGAGGCGCGGTAACGAGTCGATCCATTTGTAAGTTCCGTTGAACGTAAACATTTTCCACATGTTGTTCTTTAACGTGTGGTTGAATCGCTCCACAACAGATGCCTTCATTACTGAATAAGTCGAATAATGATTGACACCGTGTTTCTTCACAAGCTCTACAACTCTGTATTGTAAAACTTCTTTCCCTGATCAGTTTACAAGTTCTTCGGACATCTTCCATCCGAATTATCTTTGCGAATGCCTCAGCTATCTCCTTTCCGCTTTTGCTCTTTAACGGCACGGTCCATGCGTGCTTGCTCAGTACATCGATAATGGTGAGTATGTAGTGGTGGTCTCCATTGAATCGCGAGTAAGGACGCATTTCCACCACATTAGCCTGCCAAAGATCATTGTATCCACGCACTATGACGCGTCTGCGAGGAAAATTTCGTTGGAGTAATTCTTTCGTGTAAGCGTGTAATTCTTTCACTAGTTGTTCTTTTTCGGAATGTTTCTTCTCATTATTTTTCCCCGTTACTCGCCGAGTCGTTTTCCGATCATGCGTGAAGCTTTGTCGCTTTACACCGGCAGAAATAGCTGAAATAGTACCAATGAGTTGCTTCTCTGAACTTTTCTTCTTTTTGTTAAATTTTGACGATTGCTTCACCATTGTAGCTCGTGATGATTCGTCTCTTGCTTACGTCGATACTATATGTCGATTCAACTGCAATATTCTACTTTTATATTTTCGACGATTTCTTTATCTCTGAATCTGTCCAGTCTAAAATTCGTTCTGTATTCTCATGAATGTTATTTATGCTCAGATGTTTTTCTTTTGGTAGTCTTCCACCCAATCCTTCAATTTTTTAACATTCTCATCTACATACTGCTTCGTCTCAACGTTACTCTCATGCAGTAGAAGCTTTACAGAATTTATATTCTCATCTATATACTGCTTCTTCTCAACGTTACTCTCATGCAGCAGAAGTTTTACAGACTTTATACTCTCATTCACATAATTTTTGTGCGCAACATCATTGAAGGCTCTCGGCCGCGTTACATGATGTATCGCGTGCCCTGTTGCGTCAAAACCTTTGCCATCAGCGGTTAGACAAAGGGCATTTTCATGTACGTATCGTTTGGTTGCAACATCATTCAAATGATTTCTCACACCTGCAACACATTCTTCCACGTATTGTTTGGTTGCAACGTCACTGTCGGCTTCAGGGTGCGCTACATGTTTTATCTTGCGCGATTTTGCATCAAAAACTTTGGCAACGTTTAAACAAAGGGCATTTTCATGTATGTAATTTTCAACGTGTTCATTCCATTGATGCGCTCGATCAGTTTTCGCACCATTGTTTTCTTGCGACACTCCAAACTTATTCATTGACATTTCGGAACAAGTTGTACCGACTGACTGACTTGTGTCAATGCCACGCTGCTTAATTTATAATGAGACCAGCTTCACAGAGTTCTTCGATAATCGATAAAATTTCGTGCTCGTGCGAGTTGTTGCCAGCTTGGCGCGAAGCGTCAAGCAATCGCAGACGATCCACCAGCTCGTTGGGATCATCCCAATGCACGTAATCGATATTGTTGTCATTTAAGGTCATCATAGTTTGCGATGCGTATAAACCTTTTCCTCCCACTTTATTGCTCGACGCATCTGATACTAGGGGCGCGATTATATGTTTATATTTGTGTCCCTTGTTACCGAGTATAGGATTTTGCGGGAGGTACCCGCGTCTGTAAGTATTTGTCGCCAATAGTATTTTTGTATTTTTGCATATCAGCTTCGGTGTACACAGAATTGTCGGGGATTCTTTTGAATATTAGCTCGTAAAGACCGGGTGTTCCAATGTATCCTGTTTCGCCTATGATTATATTATCGTCTCTGTCCACATCGATACGTTTATCACCGAGCATCGCTCCATCGTTACTAACAAGGGGAGGATGCATCGACCGGGAAACGGTTTGGAACGAAACTTACGGAGTTAATAGTACTTGACTACTAATAACTCATGGTAATAGCATACGACGCAATACCTCTTCGTTTTCGAGAAAAAACGGTCTAAAGAAAAGAGTCAACAAAGTGTACGAGTTAGTAAGAAGGATATTCAACGAAGCGGCGTAGCGCAGCAGCGAAGGTAACGGATTACCGAGGTGACGGCTGAGGTTCGATCCCTGCTGTACGGTTTTTTTTTCTATTTTATAAGCATAAAAATGAAACAGAAAACATTAATAAGTAATAAAACTGCGTTTCTTAAATGTATTAGTGTTTGTTAAATATACTATTAATGATTTAAATTGCAAAAGAACCCTAAATCTTATCTATAAAATATATAGTGTATGAGAAAATTTTTATATAATAATTGCAATGGAAATAGGAGTAAAAATATATATTTTCGCAGGAGGATTTTTCGATAATAATTCATTATTCTCGTAAATAGAATTCGCATATACGAGAGCATTAGTGAATTCACCTTTAAAATCTTCATTTTCAAAAGATCTTTCTTCTAGCAATTCTACACCAACTATTTTGCTTGTTGAAGGATTCTCTGATATTGTTATGATATATGTAATTTAAATATGATCACCGAATTGCTCTGTATCAGTAGTAAACGCACACTGCTGCTTGCTTTACTGACGACTGTTCCGATGCTCGAATCATTTCGTCATTCTTAACGATCGTTTAGAATGACACAAAGGAAGTTTTTGGAGGGGGATTGCCTGAAGAGGTAAAGACACAACATAACTTCAACACAACACGACTTCAATACAACATAGAGAATTGTAACAGAAATAAATATTTTATATATACGATATACCAGGTGTCGGTAATTCCTTTCCAGTTTTTTCGCTAAAGAAAACACGTTATTTACAATGGATAGTTAAAACATATTTATTCAAAGTATTGGCCATTTGATTCTATACATTTTGCCCATCTCTCAGGCAATTTATGGATGCTATTCCAAAAGAACTGTTTCTCCTTTGAGCTAAACCATTCATCGAGCCATTTTTTAACTTCTTCGAAATCGGCGAAGTACTGCTCTGCAAGCGCGTGCCCCATCGATGCGAAAAGGTGGTAGTCGGATGGAGCCAGGTCTGGAGAGTACGGCAGGTGCGATAAAACTTCCCATCCAAGTGATTTCAACACTTCTTTGACTGGTTTTGCTGTATGAGACGGCGCGTTGTCATGCTGCAAAGTCACCTTATCATGTCTTTGAGCGTATTGTGGACGTTTTTCGATCAATGCACAGTTCAAATTGATCATTTGTTGTTGGTAGCGATCAGTATTAACTGTTTCTCCAGGTTTCAACAGTTCATAATATACGACACCAACCTGGTCCCACCAGATACAGAGTATGGTCTTGCGACCAAAGCGATTTGGCCTTGCAGTCGATGGGCCGCCTTCGCCAGGTGATAACCATGATTTTTTTCGCTTGGGATTTTCGAAATAAATCCATTTTTCATCACCCGTTACTATTCGATGCAGAAATGACTTCCTTTCATACCTTTGAAGCAGCATTTCACTGACGATTTTCCGATTTTCCAATTGCCTGTCATTCAATTCATGTGGCACCCATCTTCCCATCTTTTGGATCTTTCCCATCGCTTGTAATCGTTCACAAATTGCTACTCGACTCACATTCAACTTTTCTGCCAATTGTTTTTGAGTTTGTGTTGGGTCTTCATCCAATAACTCCTGCAATTCCGCATCTTCAAACGTTTTCGGCCTACCAGGATGTTTTTTGTCTTGAACGTTGAAATCACCACATTTGAATTGTCGAAACCACGTTTCACATATTCTTATGGTTGGAGCATGCTCACCGTAAGTCTCTACCAGCAAACGATGACTTTCAGCGGCTTTTTTCTTTTGATTAAGCAAGAAAAGTAATGCATGCCGCAAATGCACGTTTTCAGGCACAAAACTCGACATTTTCAAAAAATTATTAATCTATAACGCTGTTATTTTGGCGGAACGTAACTTGTGTAGTTTTGAGGTTAATGTCAGTAGAATAAAATGACATATGTATCAAATTATAACATTGCATACTTATGGCTAGTGACATCTGTTACAAAAACCGGAAAGTAATTACCGACATACTTGGTAAGATTACGAAAAATTATCTCATACTAGTTTTACTCTTTGCGATCGGCTGATTTCGAAGAGATCGATAAACATGGATATCTGTAAGTTGATCTAAACATTTGAATCTAGCATCGGGAGGATAGTTTTCTTTCATTATCGCTAGCCTCATTTGCTGTGCCGCACGCCAGGCGATCATGAATGCCAGCCTGGCGGCATCGACTTCTACGACGACTTACGAATGCCGCCACTGTGGCGGCATCGACCGCAAAGGGTTAATAGCATTTCTATATATTTCATAACAATATTTTTATTTCTATTTCTATTGCAATTATTATATAAAAATTTTCTCATACACTATATATTTTATAGATAAGATTTACGGTCTTTTTGCAATTTAAATCATTAATAATATATTTAACAAACACTAATAT